ATTTGATATTTCTCGGGCTCCCATGTGACTGAAATAGTCTTTGGTGTTATTACAGATAACTAATTGTATCTATAACCCCGCCCGGCGAGTGGCGAAAAAACCTTATTTTTCACCAATTCCTCTTCTTTTGACTGGTTTTCGGCTAATTAGCAAACAACAATGGCTAAAAACGAATTTTGCGGGAAAAAAAAGGCATATTTTCCGACCAACCTGAAAAAAGCTTTATTGTTTTTCACGCATGCGCAAAAGCCAAAATTTGGACGTTTTTTTTTCTTTTGCGAATCTATTTCGATCTTTCTCTCTCGCTTTCTTTCCCCTTCTTTTCCTTCTTTATTGATGGTTTTGTTGCCCACTTTAATTCGTCTTTGTTTGCATGGAATTGTGGCTTGCTAACTTTTTAGGAAAGGGACAAATTTAATTTTCAAAGAGTAGTATGTAAGTGGCTGTGGATTTTTTCTCCTAAATGTTACCTTATTTCGTGAGTGTAACTCTGGTCAAAAAATCCAAAACGAGGTATCGCTGGAAGGATGTATCTTTTCTTACCTTGTTGCTTATTAACTTAAAATGAAAGCTAAATGGGACCAAGGAGGAATGTAAACATCTTCCATATGGGTTGTATACGACCCTAGCCTTCCGAAAATGGTTAAATTATTCTGGTACAAGGTTTTTGCCCACTGAAAATTGAAATTACTCATTCCCCTGATGTATTCCGTCTTAATTCTTGGGTTTAGTATATATCACAACCTCCTAAAATGTTGAACGAAAAGAATCAGATATGAGTTACGAACCATTTTCATATCCGCATTCCAACCACCGTGACCGTCACATAACTGCTGAAGTTTCTCTTCAGACACCTGTATGATGACTTTATCGCCAGTTGTAAGCCCACTTTGTGACTTTTTCAACTCTACTTTCAGCACTGGTAGATGATCTTTGTAATAGCTTCCACCACTAACAGCCATAGTACACTTAAGATCGACCTTCAACCAAAATTTGTCAATCATTAGATTATTCACAAAATCCTCGCCCTGCAGTCAAAAACCATTAAATTAACCAGGAAGAATATTAGAAGTACTTTTCCATCTTTTCCAAGTCTGTAAATATTGCTTCTTTGCCCTTCCTTCCATTTAACTCGCACAGCATTTTTCGCAGACTCGTCATCGTCCCAGCTGGCGACATCAGTGACTTCGCCCTCCAACCTGGCACCTCCATCTTGATTCTTCCACTCCCAATCGGCTCCCCTGACTACTTTAGCTCCCTTAAACATCCCACGTGCTTCCTGTTTATCTGATCCTTGTCGTGTTCCAACGATCACCCTGTCACATTATTTACAAGCAGTATAAACCAACCAAAAACAACAAACGTTAATTTATTAGTTCGTTAATTTATTCATACACTGCCAGAATCGTTGTTACCTAAGGCGCCTGATGAGATATGATGTTACTGCTAGTTGTTCGGAACGAAGGAAAAAAAATATGCAATTTTTCTCTAAATTTTTACTTTTAAAATTTGTTTTAGTTACGTTTGACTTTGAATGCAATTTTCGTACAATTTGAATGGAATACTGTATTGTCTCGCAGTCACTTCATGGCCCAGTCTCTCAGCGTTAATAGCCAGTTAAGTATGCCAACGGCCGACATACTTAAATGGCCATTAACCTCGTGCGGATCTGCAATTCTGTTGGGGACAACATTTCCCACGAACGACTACATTCCTTGGAGACGAAAGAGTTAAGACTAGTCGTAAAAAGAGCTTCAGCATGGGTAAAATATATATGATTTTCCAACCACCAGTAAGGATGTGGGATTTATTGCTAATCCCGTTGGAATGTCTGTTGGAAGAAGAGAATGTCGGAGCTGGGGCTGGTGAGTTGGAGCTAGTGGGTGAATGCTTACCGCTTCCCATGACTCTTGTCGATGCGCTCGAAGCGATGTTCAAGGTCGTGCTTATCTGTCATATAGCAAGTGGTGCAGAGATCATAGTTCGGACATGTCAGACAGTGCCAGCGCATTCCAGCTATTGGATCCTTCCCGCAGCCATCGCACATCACTTGCAAATGCTTTGTACCTAGGCAAATGAAAGTTACAAACACAATAACTTACCTTTTAACTGCTGAAAATTAAATTTTCATGTTTAGTATATTGTGGCGAATTTTTTTTTCCAAGAAAAAACCACTATCAAAACAAATACGTTTCAGAGAGGAGACGTTGCAATCAAATAATTATAATGGTAGGAAATCCAAAATCATTAAGTTCTGTTCGTCCACAGTACAGTGGCCAGTGGAACACCGATTTTTGAGCACCCACTCGCGGAGGAGTTTTCTCCGTCCCGACGAAAACTTCACACAGTATTGGGCCTAATATATAGATTTAGCCAGGGCTAAAGCGAGGCTCTCGATAATATTTATAGTTTGTTCAAACAAAATATAAAATCTTGCAATTCTAAGCGACGAAGGCAACGCCGGAGACGGTGAAAAACAACACTAGGTCTATTAGCAAAAACCAACTTTGCACCTGCAGCACAGTTTTTTTGTACATTTCTTTGCCGTTATTTCGCACCACTACAACGTGAAATTTCCAGAAACTTTTTAGTTACACGTTTTATGGAGGAAATGTCGTAGGTATTCTCGTTCACTTTTTTTCGCTGCCGCTCATTTTCACCTTGCATTGGTGGCCGCGAGCCTTTCTCATTTTGTCACCGCCGATACAAAATTTTTATGTTGTTCTTCCAACAAAAAATGTCTCCTTTGTTTTCCATCTCTCGCTGTAGATCCCCGTCGTTCATTTTTTCCTTGAGCTTCGCTGGCCTGCCGCCAACTTTCTCTTTTTCTCTGTCTTTCTCTTGCTCTATATTCCAAATTTGTGGACACGACAATTAATCTAAGCTTAATACTTTAGACATAACGGATACAGAAACAATTTCCGCTTTCCGTTTTCGTCTTTATTGACTCTTTAGTTTTCTCTGCTTTACAAGAAGCCGGTGGCTATATGATTCTCGCCAAAATAATCTAGAGTTGCATTTGGGATGCCATCCTGTTAATTGAATTATTTTAAATTGGTATGCCTGTGTGGCAGACGGACGGTCAGTCGGGCGGTCGGTCGGTTTACGGTTCACGTGATTACCAAATTTTCTCGGATGGGTAGATTACAAGTGTCTTACCCATGGTGCTCCGCTGCGCGCGCTTCGCGCGCGAGAGCTCCGCTATTAGCAATTCACTGAATCAAGAGAATACTCTCTTGGCTTAATACAAACGCCAATTCTGAAAACCAGACTCGTTTCAAGAGGTGACTTACACAAATTTTTTGAACGTTTTTGAACGGACAAAAACTTGCAATGATCTGCGTTCGTTTACGAAGGGAATCCTCAGAACCGTACAAGTTTTTGAATGGCAAACAGTGCTGAATTTTATAACAGAATTTGCACGGTTACGTGTAAACGGGTCGTACAAATAAAAAATTCGTCCGTTCACATAACATTTGTCCGGACCAGGGTAAACGGGTCTAAACGGGGCTTAGTAATTCTTCTGTCTGTTTACAGTGAAATCTGGAAAAGTGTTAACGCGTGAAAAGTCTTGTCGCTTGGCTTCGCCCCTTTCTTTTATCTTAAAATTTTTCCCGAAAACACAACGGGAGGGAGAGACTGGGTACAACTGCGAGTCATCAGCGTCATTTTCGCTTCCGTCATGAATGCCATATCACACCGTAAGAGAAAATGAAATGGAAACGGAAAGAAGCCTTCCCTCCTTGTTCTTGGAAATGGACTCCAACTAACGGAAGGCTATATGTCAGAATGTAAAAAATCCTCTTCTCGAATGGGTTGTAGTCCCTGAATAATATGTTTATTACGTTAAGCTTTTACCGTAGTGAAAGATTTCGCCATTCGACAGCCTGAATATTTAACACGTACCTCCAATGGCGTTATCAAACACCCTTAGATCGTGTTTACCATCAAATCCCGCCCTATAGTTTGCTTTAATTCCACAGTCCCACTGTACCCACACAAGTTGCGCTGTGGTCGGCGATTTCTTGTCCTTTCCGATCTGAACAATGGTTCCGACATGTCCTTCTCCTCCATCTTGGTTTTGCCATTCCCAGTCTGGTCCACGGACGACTCGTATTCCTAGTGAAGCCATTTCTTCTTATAAACTGTATTAACAGAGAATAAAAAGAAAATGAAAAAGAGAAAGAAAAAGTAAACTTAGAAGTTTTAATCTTGTAACTGAGATAGTATATGTTTATAACACAGTTTCACACTTCAGCTTTAGTAACATCTGGCGCGTAGCTGACCAAAAGGCAAGAGATTAAAACTCGGACCTGTAACTGTCGTTGAACAGCAGAACTTCTAGCTACCTATCTTCAGGTTAAAAGGAATGTCTGTTCGTTAAAAGGAATTGGACAACGTACTGACAGACTCAGCTTTCTTTGAGTACGCGGAACCTTGAATGATTTCGCTTCCTTTACTTATGCTATACCGGTGTGGTCTACTCTGGACTACCAGCTTAAGCCATTTGAAGATCATCGTTGACCTGTATCTTCAGCTCTCTTGAATATTTTTAACCCAACTAGTAATGACCAAAGGTTAGGGAGTGCGGGTGACAACGATCGGAGGTCCAAACGCTTTTGTCCAACGCTGTGCTTTGTGTATGTTTCACTTATGGTAGAAGGTCGAAACGCTCATGATCCAATTACGTTTTTTGCATTCCATTCATTCTTAGTGGAAGTTTAAACGAATGCTGGCTACATACATGCGAGGCATGCGTAATAACTACATGGAGATAAGGACTGCGGGCTCCTCCTTTCGCCCGCGATAATTCCATTTTTCCCTCAGAGTGAATCTTTATCGAAAGGACATGTGACGTAATTCTAAAAACGCGAGTTTTTGATCACATCGTTTTACATGGCTGCCAGTGTTTTAAGCATCTTACACTGGCATAAACTTTGTATATTTCATGATTCGGGCAGAATTATTATATTTCCAAAAGATAATGACATCAAAGCTGATTAAGTAACATAGCTGACACTTACTGAAATCATTGCTTCGTTCCAGCCTCCGTGTCCCTCCTGGAGATCTTTAACCAAGTTCTTTTCAGATTTGATTATGACTTCATCTCCACGTTTGAACTCCTGGATCTGTTAAAGAAAGTGTTGTAAGTGAAAAGTGTGAAAATTTACGAACTTTAATCGAGGCAGGAACTATTTTGTGAAGACAACATGTCTTCGCAATATCCTATTGTAATTACGGGCTCAATACACTGTACTTTCTTTTCTTTTTTACCTTTGATAATGCTGCAGGATTAAATCGCCACACTTTTTCAGGATATTCTACCAGAACGTCACCATTCGAAGTGAAATCTTGAATGACACCGATTTTCCTAATAAACTGTGAGAGAATTCAGTGAAGTGAGCTAAGAACACGTTTATGGCGGCTGACTCGATAAGTGGATGTATATGATGATTAATTATTATATACTTTCTAAAAGTTAAAGTACCACTGCGCTTAATTTAATGAAGAAGCTCTTAATTATCTCCCCATGTAAGGAAATCCAATACCGTCTTGGATTCTGGAGTTCCAAGCTATGGATTCCGGATTCCGGGTACTGGATTCTAGTCTTTGTCAGTACAACTTGGATTCTGGATTCCAATCGATAGTTGGATTCCGAATCTCCTGAGCCGTTTTCCGGATTCCACAAGCAAAGTTTCCGCATTCCGTATCCCGGATTCCAGAGGGAATAATTTCCCTGATTCCGGAATCCGGATTTCCTTACATGGGGCGGCTCTTGTTGGTCCCTTTTATAATTTGAAGAGGTACCGATAATACATGGGTTAAGCATGTTAATAAGATTACCGTGCTTTATTGTCTAAATGCTTAATCGTCAACGCTGAGATTAAATTACCATTAATCCATTACCAAATTACGTGTTGCACTTCTGAATCTCATTTAGGACTCTTTAGGACCACAACTGTATGCCTTACTCAAAGACAATTACATCGACACGACATTGTTACAACAGTATTAACCAACTATGTGCACAGAAAAATTACAGTCAAATCTCTTTAATACGGACATCAAAGGGATAGAACCAAGCGTCCGCTCTACAGAGGTGTCCGTATTATAGAGGTAGGGATGTATGATTTTTGGCATTTCTCGGATCAAACGAACTGTTCGTTATAGAGAGGTGTCCGTAAGGAGAGGTTAGACTGTATAATATCATCATAATGTTTTTTCTGATGTAAAACAAACAAGCAAGCAAACAAAAGCAAAAACAAGAGAGACAGACAACAAACAATGAAGGAAGAAAGAAGGGAAACAGTTGACAACAAATTTACGACGGAATCCATTAGGAAATTGAGTAATATTAATTTTCATTGGACAAAAACCTTGTACCGGAATAATTCAAAGACTACAGCATTATTTGCTACATTTTTCAAGGGCTATAGATGTCATTTAGTTATCTCTAAAAACACCGAAGAAAATTTTAATGGGGGCCCGAGGAAATAATTTAAAAAAAAATCACAAAATGACAACTTACACATGAAATTTTCACAATTTTACCTGGCGTGATTTCAAAATTCTTGAGAAATTTGTTATTTCTCGGGCTCCCATGTGACTGAAATAGTCTTTGGTGTTATTACAGATAACTAATTATATCTATAGCCCCGGCCTGCGAGTGGTGAAAAAACCTTATTTTTCATCAATTCCTCTTCTTTTGACTGGTTTTCGGCTAATTAGCATACAAAAATGGCTAAAAACGAGTTTTGCGAGAAAAAAAGGCATATTTTCCGACCAACCTGAAAAAAAGCTTTATTGTTTTTCACGCATGCGCAAAAGCCAAAATTTGGACTTTTTTCTTCTTTCTTTTTGCGAATCTATTTCGATCTTTCTCTCTCGCTTTTTTTCCCCTTCTTTTCTTTCTTTATTGATGGTTTTGTTGCCCACTTTATCGTCTTTGTTTTGCATGGAATTGTGGCTAGCTAACTTTTTAGGAAAGGGACAAATTTAATTTTCAAAGAGTAGTATGTAAGCGGCAGTGGATTTTTCCCCTAAATGTTACTTTATTTCGTGAGTGTAACTCTGTCAGGATCGGTCAAAATATCCAAAACGAGGCATCGCTGGAAGGATGTATCTTTTCTGACCTTGTTGCTTATTAACTTAAAATGAAAGCTAAATGAGATCAGGGAGGAATGTAACCATACGGGTCGTATACGACCCTAGCCTTCCGAAAATTGTTAAATTATTCTGGTACAAGGTTTTTGTCCACTGAAAATTGCAATTACTCAATCCCCTGATGTATTCCGTCTTAATTCTTGGGTTTATTATATATCACAACCCGCTAAAATGTTGAACGAGAAGGATCAGATATGAGTTACGAACCATTTTCATATCCGCATTCCAACCACCGTGACCGTCACATAACTGCTGAAGTTTCTCTTCAGACACCTGTATGATGACTTTGTCGCCAGTTGTAAGCCCACTTTGTGACTTTTTCAACTCTACTTTCAGCACTGGTAGATGATCTTTGTAATAGCTTCCACCACTAACAGCCATGGTACACTTAAGATCGACCTTCAACCAAAAATTTGTCAATCATTAGATTATTCACAAAATCCTCGCCCTGCAGTCAAAAACCATTAAATTAAGCAGGAAGAATATTAGAAGTACTTTTCCATCTTTTCCAAGTCTGTAAATATTGCTTCTTTGCCCTTCCTTCCATTTAACTCGCACAGCATTTTTCGCAGACTCGTCATCGTCCCAGCTGGCGACATCAGTGACTTCGCCCTCCAACCTGGCACCTCCATCTTGATTCTTCCACTCCCAATCGGCTCCCCTGACTACTTTAGCTCCCTTAAACATCCCACGTGCTTCCTGTTTATCTGATCCTTGTCGTGTTCCAACGATCACCCTGTCACATTATTTACAAGCAGTATAAACCAACCAAAAACAACAAACGTTAATTTATTAGTTCGTTAATTTATTCATACACTGCCAGAATCGTTGTTACCTAAGGCGCCTGATGAGATATGATGTTACTGCTAGTTGTTCGGAACGAAGGAAAAAAAATATGCAATTTTTCTCTAAATTTTTACTTTTAAAATTTGTTTTAGTTACGTTTGACTTTGAATGCAATTTTCGTACAATTTGAATGGAATACTGTATTGTCTCGCAGTCACTTCATGGCCCAGTCTCTCAGCGTTAATAGCCAGTTAAGTATGCCAACGGCCGACATACTTAAATGGCCATTAACCTCGTGCGGATCTGCAATTCTGTTGGGGACAACATTTCCCACGAACGACTACATTCCTTGGAGACGAAAGAGTTAAGACTAGTCGTAAAAAGAGCTTCAGCATGGGTAAAATATATATGATTTTCCAACCACCAGTAAGGATGTGGGATTTATTGCTAATCCCGTTGGAATGTCTGTTGGAAGAAGAGAATGTCGGAGCTGGGGCTGGTGAGTTGGAGCTAGTGGGTGAATGCTTACCGCTTCCCATGACTCTTGTCGATGCGCTCGAAGCGATGTTCAAGGTCGTGCTTATCTGTCATATAGCAAGTGGTGCAGAGATCATAGTTCGGACATGTCAGACAGTGCCAGCGCATTCCAGCTATTGGATCCTTCCCGCAGCCATCGCACATCACTTGCAAATGCTTTGTACCTAGGCAAATGAAAGTTACAAACACAATAACTTACCTTTTAACTGCTGAAAATTAAATTTTCATGTTTAGTATATTGTGGCGAATTTTTTTTTCCAAGAAAAAACCACTATCAAAACAAATACGTTTCAGAGAGGAGACGTTGCAATCAAATAATTATAATGGTAGGAAATCCAAAATCATTAAGTTCTGTTCGTCCACAGTACAGTGGCCAGTGGAACACCGATTTTTGAGCACCCACTCGCGGAGTAGTTTTCTCCGTCCCGACGAAAACTTCACACAGTATTGGGCCTAGTATATAGATTTAGCCATTGCTAAAGCGAGGCTCTCGATAATATTTATAGTTTGTTCAAACAAAATATAAAATCGTGCAATTCTAAGCGACGAAGGCAACGCCGGAGACGGTGAAAAACAACAATAGGTCTATTAGCAAAAACCAACTTTGCACCTGCAGCACAGTTTTTTTTGTACATTTCTTTGCCCTTATTTCGCACCACTACAACGTGAAATTTCCAGAAACTTTTTAGTTACACGTTTTATGGAGGAAATGTCGTAGATATTCTCGTTCACTTTTTTTCGCTGCCGCTCATTTTCACCTTGCATTGGTGGCCGCGAGCCTTTCTCATTTTGTCACCGCCGATACAAAATTTTTATGTTGTTCTTCCAACAAAAAATGTCTCCTTTGTTTTCCATCTCTCGCTGTAGATCCCCGTCGTTCATTTTTTCCTTGAGCTTCGCTGGCCTGCCGCCAACTTTCTCTTTTTCTCTGTCTTTCTCTTGCTCTATATTCCAAATTTGTGGACACGACAATTAATCTAAGCTTAATACTGTAGACATAACGGATACAGAAACAATTTCCGCTTTCCGTTTTCGTCTTTATTGACTCTTTAGTTTTCTCTGCTTTACAAGAAGCCGGTGGCGATATGATTCTCGCCAAAATAATCTAGAGTTGATTTGGGATGCCATCCTGTTAATTGAATTATTTTAAATTGGTATGCCTGTGTGGCAGACGGACGGTCAGTCGGGCGGTCGGTCGGTGTACGGTTCACGCGATTACCAAATTTTCTCGGATGGGTAGATTACAAGTGTCTTACCCATGGTGCTCCGCTGCGCGCGCTTCGCGCGCGAGAGCTCCGCTATTAGCAATTCACTGAATCAAGAGAATACTCTCTTGGCTTAATACAAACGCCAATTCTGAAAACCAGACTCGTTTCAAGAGGTGACTTACACAAATTTTTTGAACGTTTTTGAACGGACAAAAACTTGCAATGATCTGCGTTCGTTTACGAAGGGAATCCTCAGAACCGTACAAGTTTTTGAATGGCAAACAGTGCTGAATTTTATAACAGAATTTGCACGGTTACGTGTAAACGGGTCGTACAAATAAAAAATTCGTCCGTTCACATAACATTTGTCCGGACCAGGGTAAACGGGTCTAAACGGGGCTTAGTAATTCTTCTGTCTGTTTACAGTGAAATCTGGAAAAGTGTTAACGCGTGAAAAGTCTTGTCGCTTGGCTTCGCCCCTTTCTTTTATCTTAAAATTTTTCCCGAAAACACAACGGGAGGGAGAGACTGGGTACAACTGCGAGTCATCAGCGTCATTTTCGCTTCCGTCATGAATGCCATATCACACCGTAAGAGAAAATGAAATGGAAACGGAAAGAAGCCTTCCCTCCTTGTTCTTGGAAATGGACTCCAACTAACGGAAGGCTATATGTCAGAATGTAAAAAATCCTCTTCTCGAATGGGTTGTAGTCCCTGAATAATATGTTTATTACGTTAAGCTTTTACCGTAGTGAAAGATTTCGCCATTCGACAGCCTGAATATTTAACACGTACCTCCAATGGCGTTATCAAACACCCTTAGATCGTGTTTACCATCAAATCCCGCCCTATAGTTTGCTTTAATTCCACAGTCCCACTGTACCCACACAAGTTGCGCTGTGGTCGGCGATTTCTTGTCCTTTCCGATCTGAACAATGGTTCCGACATGTCCTTCTCCTCCATCTTGGTTTTGCCATTCCCAGTCTGGTCCACGGACGACTCGTATTCCTAGTGAAGCCATTTCTTCTTATAAACTGTATTAACAGAGAATAAAAAGAAAATGAAAAAGAGAAAGAAAAAGTAAACTTAGAAGTTTTAATCTTGTAACTGAGATAGTATATGTTTATAACACAGTTTCACACTTCAGCTTTAGTAACATCTGGCGCGTAGCTGACCAAAAGGCAAGAGATTAAAACTCGGACCTGTAACTGTCGTTGAACAGCAGAACTTCTAGCTACCTATCTTCAGGTTAAAAGGAATGTCTGTTCGTTAAAAGGAATTGGACAACGTACTGACAGACTCAGCTTTCTTTGAGTACGCGGAACCTTGAATGATTTCGCTTCCTTCAGTTGTTTTTCACTGTCACGCACTCACAACTATTATTATTTTCACTCAAGGACACTGATTATGATGATCTCCAGTGTCAAGTAGAGGGATTTTAAGAACTGAATCTGGCTTTCAAATTAAGCGAGCATATCACTAGCTGAAACAAACCGAGCAGCGGGAATGAGAGCATGGGTTTTCTTTATATCTATACCATTACATAAGAACGAAAACTTTGCAAATACTCATTTAAAGATTCATCTATCGAAGACTCAACCTTAAATATTTGGGTAACTACAGTAGTCGTTTCCTAGATACATATATAATAAAGGTATGACAGTGGCGAGTCACTTTACCCTCAGTAAAACTGTCACTTTGCAAAAACGATCTTTTTTGAATATTTAAAAATGCGACATCAACATAATTTACAACGACCGACGTAATATAAAATAATAGAAGAATTATTTAGCACTGTTTTCTTTACCTTCACAATATGAAAAGTGAATTTTTAGTTCTGCCCAGTTATTGCTTCCTTAGAGTTAGTAAAAAAATATACAGCATCAGTCTTCCAATTTCTTATTTCCAAGTAGTCATTCGCAGCAGGCCAATTATTTTTTTTAGTTTGTCAGCCTTCGCTTTTCCTAGAAAGGACGTTACTTGTAGGGGATTCCCCTTTGTCTGCGATACGTTTTGCAATTGGATCAAATTTATGTCATAATGTCAAATAAGGTATCTATTTTTAATGCAGTGCATCCTGAATGTATTTTCATTGTAGTGCTAGAAAATGACTGCTACAATATCAAACCCCCTCTACCTGGCTGTAACTATCTAAAAGCATGGCAAATGATGTCCTTAGAAAGGAAATAAGTTTCCTTCATCAGATCTGCATTATCAAGGAAGAATTTTCAAGGGAAAAAGAATTGGAAAATTTGTTGCCAAAATTACTGCGAATCAAGTGGCTCCTCGGAGAATACTGACTTTAGTTACTATTAAATATGGCGCGTTAGCAAGATTTAGAACAAAAATTAAAAATAAAGAAAAAATAAATTTTACATTACCCAGCTCGTCTATAATCTTTGCGTACAGGATATGATTACCGGTTGACGACGTCTACAGTTCCATAAAACTGTTCAAAGGAATAGTGTCATAAGTTATATTCCTAGAATGAAAACAATGACTTTTGTGGGGATTTTTCCCACAGCAACATGTCCCTGCCTGATTGGCTAAAACTGTTTGCAAGGGCCAGTCAAGATCGGCCATTTCATTTATCCTCCAATTCTGCGAAATGATACTCTAATAATTAATTTATACTTTTATATACTTTGAAAACTAGAAAGAGGTCTTAGGAGGTGCAATCATTAAGCAGATTTAGCTTTGGACAAAGTTAAATTTTCACTGTTTCTATTTTATTGGACCTTTTATTATTATTCAACTTTTTTTCACTTAACCGTTGGAATCCATATCGCTCTAAATTTTATGCAATTATGTCCAGGTTTGCACGCAGCTGCAAAATTTCGGATTCCGTGCGCTTGCAAAAAAATCGCAAGAACTGCAAGGTTTGCAGTTTTTCTCATTTGCGACTTTTTGCAAGGTTGACGAAGTTCAAAGCGCAAATTTGCTATTGTTATGATCATTTTGTACAGGTATCTAAAACCGCCGTCAAAATAATATATATACCCATTTTTACCCACTTGAGGCTAAAAACCAGTGACCCAATGACAGTTTCCTCCTAAACACATTGAAAACACTTTTTAGGTTATCAAGAGTGCTTTTAGATCTGAAGAAATACATTGTAAGTAGCGCTATAAAATTTGAATCTGTTCGGTTATCCTAGAGGAACTTGTCATAAGTCTTTTCGAAATTATAAGGACTTGGATATTATTTTCCCTAAAATTTTACTGCAATTTGACGGATTACGAAAGTGAGACATTTTTTGATTCCTCTCTCCATCACATTTTTGAGTCTTAGAATTTTAGTTTTCCTTTTTTCTACGAAAAATAGTCTAACTTGGGAAGTGAAATTTGAAAATTATACTTCAGAAAATCCTAGGGAATTCATTAGATAAGATTCAAAAATTGTACATGAAAGGAACGGTCATCAAGAAATTTTAGCATTCAAGTCAAGCCATAGAAATTATAGCCTATTTTTGCTTCTCCGAACAGATCAGATAGTTTACTGAAAACAGTCGTTGGGTGCCCCTGACTAAAATGCAAATAATAGCTTGTTGAATGAGGCTCTGGATGGAGCGGTTCAACGAATATAGCTGATAATTGAACTAAAACTTAACAATCACACGAGAAGAGATGTCTTGAGAGATGCTTAGCTAATCGCTAAGATCTGAGAACTGACATCTAGGGAATTCACCATTTTCACAAAATTGAAATATACTGATATCCCTCCATCCCCCTGCACAAAATCAGGCACTTCGAACAAATTATTACATCAGGAATAAGTTTTTGTCGACGGTCGAGTATTCTTCAGGGTATTTGCTTTTTAATACGCGTGTTTGAATACAAGAAAATCAATAGCCTTGATTAGGGAAAAATTACATCATTGTCAAAAAGCCAGAACGTGATCAATCACGCGCTTCACCTCAATCATCGCCGAAAATAAACCACATACTCATCACTAGTCTCGTCATTTGCATACAATGAAAGTCGTCACGATTCTTATTCCCAGTTTCCACGGTCTCCATTACGAACGCCTGGGAACACGACCTTTCTTTTGTGTCCTAAATACGAAAACCAAAACCGGCTTGCAGATTATGACTCTCAGTGGTTACGCAACTTCGAGTAAAGACACGATAAGTTATTTGATTTCAAGTTGTTCACTGTAACCTTAATCTAAGGATGAGCAGCAGCAAAGTTGGGAACACCTATGATTATTGAGTTACCACAGAAAGCTTTTTATTGAGAAAAGCCAAGATCTTAGGAAGGACCCTAGACACCTACATGTAAGGCTAAGGGATACAGCTTTATGCTTCGGGTAGACATGGCCACCTTTAGGTGTGAGATTAGGAATAATAACGTTTATGATGATGTTGATGATGATGATGAAGATGATGATGATAATAATGATAATAATAATAATAATAATAATAATAATAATAATAATAATAATAATAATAATAATAATAATAATAATGGTGTACGTCATGCGCCCTATCCTACTCGTAATGTGCACAGCATTCTAAAGTTTTATACCGCCCGATAATAATAATATAACAATACACAAATCGGCAAGGCTTTTTTCTTATGCGCCAAGTGAAAATGATGAATTAACTGAAACAGGCTGATACTAGATTCAATTTTGACCCTCATGCAGTCAGTCATCACAGATCAAGTACTCGTATAAATTACAGTTTCATCATTTATTACTTCTTTTTGAAAGATCACAAGGATGTCCAGTAATTAATCTCCGCCTCGGTTCAAGACCGAGTGTAATAACAATAATCAAGTTTTATATTTCTGCCGACTTCTCCATATGGGATGGATCCACCCTTTTCATTTCCCGAGAAAGACCAATCTTCTGTGTCCCACTTGAACCATTCGGAGTGCGCATGCATTCCTTGGACCTGTTGGCACTGATGACTATTGGATTTGAAAAGAACGAAGGGATGGTCTGTTGGAAGGATAATGGGATTTGTCGCAAAGCCGTCTGTGCGACAACAGTACTTGATCAGTGTGTTTTTCCCGTATTTTCCATCTGGCAAAGTACCTCGATAGTTGTTATTGTTGTCTGTATTTTCGTCATCCCAGCGAATAAAACCTTCATCGAAGCCTGGAAAACAAGAATATTTTCAAGCCCGTCATTTAGAGAACTCATTTCAGGCATCAGTTCTCCTAGTCGGCTATGTGTCCCTCAAAGAAGCAATTCTATTTTTCGTTATATTAATACTCGTGCCAATCAGAAATGGAAATAATTTGTTCATAAATATTCGTCTGAGTTAGTTTATTGATCAGTTTATCGATATGAACCATGGCTTCTTCGCTAACGCAGAGGTCATGGGTTCGAATGCCTGCTGATGCCCCGGATTTTTTTTACCCGTTTAATTTTCTATTGCGAGGATGCTCATATCATCATTTAGATTTGTACTCCCTCAGTTCAAATCATCTTCATTCTATAATTAAACTAATAGAGAGCTTAAGAATCACGTTTGTTTCATTTGACCAAGTTTCCTCTTTACTTGACATTCATTCTTTACTAAAACTACACGGAAATCAGTGGATTCACGCCAGTTTTATCCATAAGAATTGATTGTTCGGAACTGTTTTTCCCTGCTCGTATTCTATTTTGAGGGGTTCTCAACTTGAATCCAACTGACGTTTGCCGTTCAGTGCCTCTAATCTCTCTAATAACCAAAACGGCTTACCTTCTTGGCAGTCTCCCTTCTTGAATATACAGTACTGTCCTGATGCCCATTCCAGGTCATACTCGGTTCCACGCTGCTGAGTCTTCATGCAGAAGGTTTGTTCGTTAGTCCAGATGGATTTCTTTCCACCGAGGTGGTAACCCCCTGACCAGCTATTGCCAAGCTCCCCTTCCTGATAGCGGTACCCATGATGCCATCGAAATCCAGCCCCAACAGGACAACCACGGTAAGTCATCGGAAGCCCATACGTTCCCTGTGGCCAAGTTAAGGGAATTCTTACTTCCGGATCTATCACAAGAGAAAAGTTTATTTATTTATTTGTTTATTTATT